GTTCTGGTGCCCTAAACATAAAAAGGACATGGAACTGTTGGAGCAAGTCCAGAGGAGGTCCAGGAAGTTGATAAGAGGAGTGGAGCATTTCCCCTACAAAGAAAGGCTGAGAAGGTTGGGGCTGTTCAGCCTGGAGAAGGTTGTGTGGAGACCTCATAGAAACCTTCTGGTATCTGAAGGGGCCTACAGGGAAGCTGGTGAGGGAGTCTTTTGTCAGCAACTGTAGTGATAGGACAAGGGATACAAACTGAAAGAGGGGAATTTAGTTTAGAAGAAATACTTTACTATGATGGTGGTAATATACAGTAATAGGTTGCCCAGGGAGGTTCTGGATGCCCCAACCCTGGCAGTGTTCAAGGCCAGGTTGGATAAGGCCTTGAGGAACCTGGTCTAGTGGGGGGTGTCTCTGCCTGTAGCGGGGGAATTGGGACTAGATGATCTTTAAGGTCCCTTCAAATGCTTAACATTCTATGATTCTATGACCTGAGCTACCCTTGTGCCTCCATTTCACTCCCTGTTAAATATTTGTGGACAAGTGACATTTTTCAGGGCTTCTCACAGATCAAAGCTGGTGGGGTGCCTCAAAAACCATCATGCTTTGCTGCCTACAAAAATGATTTGATTCTGTCTGATAAGTCAAACAAGGGCAGGAGGAGAGTGTGGCCCAATGTGGGGTGGGTGGGTCCCCTGGTGGCCAGGAGGGTTCCGCTCTTGTTGCTCAACAATGGGGTCAGCACCACTCCTGGCAACCCCTTCGTGTAGAGCCCTGCTCTCCCTGGCTAACTCTGCTCCTGCTGACACTATCCCCTCGGGGATTACCTCAGCTTAAGTAAACTGTAGCAGCCTGGGGAAGGGCAGCACTGTGCCTGAAGCAGGATCTCACCGGTGAACCTCCTTCTGTTTGTGCCTCCACCTCCCACTTCTGCCCAGCACGATAAGAGCCAGCCTGGTATCATGGACGAGTATGTGCAGGTGACAAACCTTTGGTCAGCTTCAGGGCAAGGGATAATGTTGTGTGGGATGAGCTGAAACACTGTGGAGGGTGGTATCCTGGGAATGGAGAGCAGTGTAACTACAGAGAGCAAAGCCATCTGCTGGGAGACAAATATCAGGGGTGTCTGCAACTTGCTTGGTGCCTGCCATTTGTAAAAAATGACCATGAGTATTAAATATGGGACCATATGGAGCAGGTATTCCAGGGTATGTCATCTGGGGTCTGTACTGGACAGCTAAGGTCATACCAGTGCTGTAATGATCTCTCTGACTGAGCAACCTGGTCTAGTGCAAGGTGTCCCTGCCCATAGCAGGGAATTGAAACGGGATGATCATCAAAGTCTCTTCAACTCCCAAAATTCTACGATTCTGTGATTCTATGGTGTCCCTATGGGTTTGACATCATCTCTTGAAGGGTTTACAAGTGTAGCTTATATAAGTGGAATGTATGGATGCAGTATAGCTTTAAACACCTGGTGGTTGTGAAGGACTGTGTGAAGTACTACTGGTTCAGCCTTGCTCTGACTGGGTCTTGCTTCCTAAAGCTTCCTAAAGGGCACTGGAGATATCTTGGTGCAATGTTCATTTGGTCTGATTGAGGAGCAAGCTGTTCTTGTCCTTTGTTGTGCTCTCTGCTCATGCTCCTCTAGGCCTCTGGGGGAAGAAAGTTCCACCAGCAGGGCTGCAGCAACTGGAGTGGCAATGTTCCACCTGCTGATTAGCCTAATTAAGAGATAAATGAGCTCCTAGGTGCAGAGGAGCATGTGCACTGTCAAACTGAGTCAGAGAAGTTATTCCTTGAAGAATGCCCTGGAGTTCCTGGGTTGTCATCCTTCCTGGGGCTGCTCTAGCAGGGTCCAGGGGTGTTGTTCCTCCTGTTCTTCAGTACCATGGGTATCAACACTAGCACACTTAGTGGGCATTGACTGTGCCAAAACCTTCCTCTCAAAACTGAGACCTTTATTACTACTGCTGAAAGCACACCTGCCTTATGGAAGAAAATGGGTTTGGTTTAGCAGGTGACTGCTTAATCTGCAGGGGGAAAACGTGGTAAAATCATTGTAAGGCCAATGCTGAGTGAAGTTTCAACCTGTGAGGAAATCAAGGTAAACATCAGGAGGTACTGTGGAGCTAAGCACAAACAGCTAATGCTCTTCTAACAAAACTTATAGGAACACTCTAAGAGATAGCACCTGTAATAAACAAATTAACTTATGACTGTGATGGGGCAATGCTGGCACATGGACAAACAGCTTTGAGATTTTGGCTGAAAATTAGAGGAAAGTGTCTAATCTCCAGAGCAGCTAGTTCTGGTAAGAGGGTCCAACAGGAGGAGTTGGGCAAAAAGCATCTACCCCTAAAATGGAGACTGGCCTGGTCACCAAAGGGTCGATGTGATGTGGCTGCCTATGTCAGGAGGGATGTATTTAGTGACCCCAGAGATCCCCATCAGCCCTGCGGGTAAGTGAAACCGAGCAAGTAAGAGCAGGTACCGTTGGGCAACCAGCAGATATTCGCAATTCAGCCCTTGTCTGACTCACGTGGTTTGCACTTGCTCAAGATCACCACATCTGGATGCAGGGAGAGGGGCATTCCAGCTCACCGGGGGGTAGGTACCTCAGCGTGGGTGTGCATGTTGGAGCCCATCACTCCATGTCCCTGTGCAGACACTGGAGGGAAAGTGCCAGTATCTAGTGTGACTCATAGGCCTGGCCTCAGATGTTTATTTTAGGTGGGGAAGAACTGCCCACTGGAGCTGCCTGTTTTTCTCTGCTGATTGTAAAGTGGAAGGTGTCAGGTGCAGGCTCACACACTTTGGGTTTGTGTGCTGTCAGAATAGAGGTGCTCTGACTTACATGACCTACAGAAAGGTTTTGGTTTTGTTATTGTTACTCTCCTTGAACACGTCTATCACTTCAATGTCTAAAAATATCTAGAGGAACCCTAAAATTAAACAGTTCTCACATCTTCAGTAGCCAACAGAGGAACCCTTCTGAACACTTTTAAGGGAGAAATTAATGTCTCAGTGCCATCTTGTGGAATGACTTGAACAAAAGGACAAGCAGTGGCAAGAGACATATCTAGTGATTCATGATGCCATCCTAGAAGCATGCTGAAAGTTTAGGGAATTCAGTGGTAATGTTGGGAATGACGCTGCAAATATTATCACCAAACCAAAGATTTTTATTGCGAACTAAGATTGCCTTTTTCCCTGAGAAGACTGCAAGTCCATGGGAACCTGGTGTTCCCAGGAAATACCTGTCCATTTTTCAGCCCAAATCAGAATATGGAGATGCCTGTAGTTAAAGCCTGAATGCAGGAGACAAAGCCTATCAGCGACACAGCAGATTCTTAGTCCACAGGGAAAGAATCCACTTGGAAGGCTCCCTGAGATCTAGGAGTGAAAAACAAAGTTGTAGGTCCAGTTGTGGGTGATACTGACCCACTCACACCTTGTCCATCAGGTGGAGAAAGGCTGTGAGATCTCCAATACATGCAGATCTCAGGTGACAAGTCAGCTGGAAACCACCATGTGCAAAACAAACTTGACACTCGTGTCACTACCCCAATCTGGTGCTCTAGGGCCCACGTTTGTGCTCCACCGAAACAGTTGCATGGCAGAGAATGAAGTGACCTAGAAAGATTTATCTGGTGCTTGTTCTGTGCCACAGCATAGCTCACAGACTCTTAGAAGAAAACCTTCCCACCTAGAAATATGCAGTAGGAACACCCTTGCAAGCAACATGATCACCATCTGTCATAATTAGATTATCCTTAGTGTCAGAGACAGACTAGTAATTTACTGCATATTTATCCAGATATTCACTGGGGTCAATAGCTAATCTGCTCCTGGAGGAGGGATTACCCCATTGCATAAAACTCTGCCTGCCAGAAGATAGACAATCATCTATGGAGCAGAGGAGAATCAGCTTCACACGTTCTTCCACACAGCTGCTGAGGGTCCTGTGGGTGAAAGAAAGCTCATGAACTTTTGCCCATGCAGTAGAGCAGAGGGAAACAACACCATGGGCAGCATGAGCAGAGCACCATGTCCCCATTGGGGCAGCTGCTGGTAACCTCTGCAGAGCTGTCCTCTGCAGAGCCACGCTGAGAAGCTGCAGCAGGCTGAGAGGAAGGCAAAGAAAACCAGCAAAGAACCAGAAAAGACTCACATGGAAAGGTCTTGAGTGTTCAGTGGATGTAAGTTTTTCCATGATTAAGCAAAGGTATTAAAACGTTTTCACCGTGGAGAGGTAAGAGCACCTGGTGAGGAGGGAGATGAGCAGAGGGAATCAGTAGATGGAGGAGGAATCAGGACAGCAATGATTCTGCTCTGACAGCTAGATGAGATTGAAGGTCTTTGGAGACCATTTCTGAGCTGGGTTTCTCCTTGCCCCACATGAGAGGACAGACAAGGTGGCTGGTGGCACGGCTCTCCACTAGTGTGATGGCAGCTGCAGACAGGTGGATTCAACAAGAGCAAATATTCAGCCTGAAGCAACGCACTGTGCTCTTCCCAGCTGAGGACAGCAGTGCACACTGGCTCCAGGCAGAGCACCCTCGCTGCAGAATGGGCATCCTGCACAGGCAAATGGTCCTAACCCCATCTGTTTAAAAAAAATGACACCAAACCATCAGTGAGTGGGTTACAATGCAGAGCAGAGCCAAAAATCCTGTTCAGTTCCAGTGAAAAAGTTTACTGAGAAAGACAGCCTTAAGAGCACAACAAAGCTAGCTCCGCTGTTCTGAGGATAGGCTGCTCCTGGGCAGACACACAGGGTCTGTAATGCTCCAGTAATAGAAATATTGCATTTGTATGATATAGCTTTTAAAGGATGGCATGTGTGTTTGTGTGGGGGCAGACTTTGAAGCTGGCTGCTGCTTTATTGGCTTGTTCATCGTTAACCAAATGAATGAAGGTGTCTGGGGCTGGAGAGGGTGCCAAGTTTCAAAGGGTAACTTGGCTCAGTGCAATGAAGTGTGTTTTCACAACAGCAGCACCCTGTCTACATTCCGAGGTCGGAGAGCACCATGTCTGAGAAGATCAAGAAGGCGCTCACAGTTCAATGCAGCACCGTGAGGGAGCTGCTGGCAGAAACACTGGGAACGTTCATCCTCATGGTAAGGAGGAGATGGGTCCAGACATGCCCGTGTGTGTGTGTGTGTATGCAACCATTTAAAACAGCAATTTGTAAGGTCAGTGGTTTCCTACCACATCCTTGGGGCTGCTCGGTGGCTGGTTGTTATTGCTCACCCCTCTGCTGTGGTGGGGTGGCAGTTTTCCATCAGGAAGACTGTCTGTCAAAAACCTTCTGGAGCTAAAAAGTAATGTGGGGAGTGGGAGGTGGGTGCTGGGAGACAGTGAAGCAGGTGGGATAGAATGATAATATCACAGAACCATTTAGGTTGGGAAAGACCTTTAAGAGTTCAGCCATTAACCCAGCACTGCCAATCCCACCACCAAACCATGTCCCTAAGTGCCACATCTACACGTCTTTTAAATACCTCCAGGGTATTATATATATTATAATATTCATATATAATACTGATATAATATATATTGAATATCTATACCTCCACCACTTATCTGGCCAGCCTGTTACAATGTTTAGCAACCCAGCTGGTGAAGACATTTTTTCTAATATCCAATCTAAATCTCCCCTGGTACAATTTGAGGCTGTTTCCTCTGCTGTCACTTATTATCTGGGAGAAAGAGATTGACCCCCACCTGGCTACACCACCCTTTCAGGTAGTTGTAAAGAGTAATAAGGTCATCCTGGAGCCTCCTTTTCTCCCAGCTGAACACCCCCACCTCCCTCAGCCATCCCTCATCAGATTTGTGCTCCAGACTCTTCCTCAGCTCCACTTCCCTTCTCTGGACATGTCATTGTTTCATTTCTCCTCTAGGAGAAAACTGAGGAAGAGTTTGGGAATGAAATCAAAGAGCAGTGTCTAGTCAGACAGAGTAACACAACACTCATGCCAAGCACCCTGAAAGATCCCATACAGTGAATTGAGGCTTTTCTTCCTGCCATGACAGAGGCAATGGTGTGGTTGGTGGGTCCTGAACAGGTCTGGGGGGCAGACCCTGACTCCCCTGTCATAGACAGCTGCTGTGAAATGAAAACAGCATTCATCCATCTTCCTCTCTTGGTGTTGCCAGGGTAATGAACATGAACCTTCCAGAGAAATTCTCCCGAGCCACAGCCCACCATTAGGAAATGTAATTACCGGGTGTGAAGCACGCCAGGATTTCACTTTTGGTTTTCTTGCTGCCAATTGAATAGTGCTTATGCAAATCATACATAAACTGCCCCCTTGCCTGAGGGATCTGTTTCACAAAGAAAAAGCTAAGTGGGCTTGAGCTCCTGGGCTGCTTCCGAATGTTTGGGGAGAAGGCAAGGAAGGCTTTACAGTCAGAACTGATCCCTGGTGGGGGTGAAGTACCCAGAGGGATCAGAGACTGTGAGTTTTGGACCAACACAGTATAATGAGATCCTCCCTCTGAAAAAGTCCAGTGTCTGTGCCAACTTACTACACCTGGACTTAGCCTGGGATGAGATGCTTTGGACTGGACAGAGGCTGGCATGCAAAGGCTGAGCATAACCCCAACAACTTGCATGTGGAGATTTGCACAGGAGGAAGATAAGATTTGTGTAAGCATAGGGACCTTTCGACAGAGTTGACTGTACAAACGAAGGTTGCTCATTTTCAGGGGCAACAACTGCCCGTGCAGAGGGTGGTTGCTTTTTATCACATCATATTGCACATTCACCTCCTTGAAGTTCACTCCTAGGCAGTTTTGTACCCATAGTAAGTCAGAGCACAGGCATCTGTGAAGCCCCAGAAACAGCTTAGCAATCCATTTTCCAAAAGCAAATTGCTTGCCATTCCCTTCGTTATTGGGTGATTGAAGTTCCCAGGTGACAAAGAACAATTCAGGGTTGTCCTGCCATGGCTGTCTCCGGGAAGCAGCATGAGGTAGAGACTTTTCTCTGTACTCTGACAGTCCAAGGCAGATTTTGTGGCCTGCAGCTCACATTGGCTCTTCTCTCACTGATGCATATGAGGGAATAGGATAAAAGAAGGGCAGTGCACGTGGACTCCCACCAAGGGCTGATGACAAGCACCATCCAGCACCCAACTCTTCAGCAGCACCTTGGCTCTCAGTGCAAACGGGAATGTGCTGAATGCATCTCCAGGATGTTCTGTGGCCTGTCTTATGTTTTTTTTCAGGATAGTGCTGTTCATGCACAGTTATATCTCTTGCCTTGTACCCTTCTCTCTGCACCTGTGTGCTCTGCTGCAAAACTTGTGCCTTATGCATTTGCCTTCTCTTGGATCTGGCTTTGGAAAATTCAGAGATGAATATGCAGACGCTTTGCAGATGCTGGGGGACATCATAAACTGCTTTTGGGGGCTTTTGCTAAGGCAATCTGAGAAAAGCTTACATTGTGCAGGCTGCAGCTCTGTGCAGAGCACAGAGTGTGGTCTGTGTATATGAGAGAGATAAAACAGCATCCCTGGGGAACAGGGGATTTGAGTGATGTGTGAAAGCATCGAGGGGAAGCAGACACATGAGATAAAATTTGGATCCAGGCAGAGCAGCCAGAAAAGATCACAGTTAAAACAGTACAGGCCGGAGGAGAGGTTTAGATGCTGGAGAACATATTGACTTTCTTGTTTCTGAAAGACATGTCATCCTGCTTAAACATCAGTACAGTCCTCAGAATAGGATATACCTCCCAAATCCTAAGTCGTTTGCGAGGCCGAAACCTCACAAGAAGCTTCGTCCTTCTCCAGATTTCAGTGCAAGACCGTTCAAAGACCTGATTTTTCCAACCTCTTGCCATATTAAAAAAGTGACAGAGAACTCATTTTCAGGACCGACCAATTTCTTGAATATGTCTTTTCCTGCTGGAGAGTGTATACTTTTAATTTTTTCACTGTTTCTCCTTTAGTCATTTAAAAAAATATTGAAACTTTGGCTGTTTTCAAACTGAAAGTCTTATGTGTTGAATGGAAAAGTCAAACAAGAAACTCCTTTCTTGTCTTTTGCTGGAATGTTACCAAAATTAGAGTTGAGTTTGGCAAATAGCTGTATGTTGCCCAAACTACATTTTTAGTCAATAAATTGCCCACCAGGAAAAGAAAGACCATAGGAATCTGCTCACCCTCCTTCCATCCATCTTGGACGTTGCCTCTGAGTGGTCCATGGTGATGCTCCCCTGCCTCATGTCCCTGGTTTCAGGCCCAGACATCTCTGCTGTGGCTGTGTGAATGATCCTCATTGAGCCCCAGCTCTTGGTGTGGGTGTCTGGGGTTTGTCTCTCCACACTCAATCATAATGAGAGTGCCTGGTTTGGTTTGATGGGCACCAATGAGAAATATCCCAGGCATCACTTCAATTTTTGCAGGGGAGGCTTGTCTTTTGTCTTCTGACCATAGGCACCTTAGAGACTTCCTGTCTTTGGGAGTTTATTAGTATTGCAGAAAATGTAGCAAAGAAGCTCAGTCTACCACAGCAACAACCATACTTTTAACACTCCTTTCTCTCTTTCTTTTTACACAGGTTTTTGGCTTGTCCTCTGTGGCACAAGTGGTATTAGGAAAAGGAAACACTGGTCAGTATCTGAGCATCAATATGGCATTTGGCATTGGTGTTACTCTGGGAATCCATGCATCTGGAGGAGTATCTGGTGAGCAGGACACTTGAGCATGGGACATATCCATGTCCCCTAAAGGCCACATGCATTGGGAACAGCACCAGTGGGCTGTGGAGGGGCTGATGACAGCATGGCAAGGTGGAGCAGTGACCTCACTCCAAAAAGGGCAGTCCTAGGGTACCCAAGCTAGAAAAGTAGAGCAGGTCTGGTTGGTGACCATGACCAGGGCCAGCTTTGTGACCTGGAGAACACAGCCAAATCTGGGAGGAGGGGCAGGTCAGAGGTCAAGCCAAAGCATTGCGGTGGCGTGGCATTGTCGGGGGGGGACAAGGCAGGCACAGCACATCTACAGCATGCTGTCCCCAAACTTGTGCTCTGAGCTGTGATGGGGCAAGTGGTACAGGGAGGGAGGCAGTTTCTACCTTCCCCTCCTGCTACAGAGCCAGGTTTCAGCAGTTCTCCCGTTAGGCAGTTGGGATATGCCATCATGGCCTAAGGAGACAGGGAGGTCCCAAAACATGCTGCTGATACAACCCATGGGGAAGTAAATAATTCATTGCAAAGGAGAGCTTACTGCTGATGTCACAACAAGGAATGGTATGCAAATTTTCTCCTTACCATCCACATCCATGCGCACATAACCCGCATAAGGTGGTGGTTCAGAGCCATGGGGTGCCATCCCTCACATGGCATAGCATTACCTTTGCCTTGTGCTATTTCTGCATTCATTTGCACCAAGAGATGAGATTAATGGCTCTAATGAGCAAAAAATTAAAGCACCTCTTTGCTCTTGAACTGTTGGAGCAGAGAGAGAGGTCCAAGCTTGGGGCTGGCTTGGAAAAATTTTCCATGCGAGCAGCCAGCGCTTGGTTTCCTTGACTTTTGGAGTTGGTGGAAAAATCCTGGGAAAAGTGGGCTGAGGAAAGTAGGTCCCGGCAGTCCCAAGTGACTTTTGAGAAGGAGCTGCTCTGCTGAGGGTAGAGGGCAGAGGGAAGGGATCTCAGCTCAGCCAGTAAGTCTGGTTATGGAGCAAACTTCAGGGCTTCCTGTCACAGTAATTTGGCTTCAGTGTGTCACAAGATGCTCTGAAATGGCTGGTCATACCCGCAAAGGAGCAGAGGATCAAAGAAACAGGGATCTACCCCCATTCCATTTGTGATTATTGGACTGTAGCAAGGTGATACATGCACATTTACTTCTCTGTCCTACACTTTGACGAGACAATGGGTGTCTGCATCTTACCCCTTCTAGAGTCTGGAGTAGGAGATGGCCATGAAGGCTGGAACATTTATTGACCCCTAAAGTTTATACCTACTGGGCAGGAAAAACAAATATTTCCTTTAGAAATATGGGGACATGGGGCCTGGAGAACACACCAAGGGCACCAAACCTGGATTCATGTAGTCCTTCTCCAAAAGTACCATTGTGATACCAAGCTCCTCCACAGAAAATGTCCCATCAAAACAGGGAAAAATGGTCTTGCACTGTATGAAAGCCACATACTAAAAGATATCAGGAAATGCAGTCCAAGATTACAAACTCTGCAAGGGAAGGACAGGGTCTGCTTCAAACTAGTGGGAGCAACCATGGTCTGGGCATGGTTGAACATCCTGGCAACCCCTTCTCAATGCAGTGATGTCCAAGAGCTCACCTGAGTCCCTGCTGACAGCCCTGTGTAGGATTTGCTATGCAGTCACAAAGCTATGGGTCATTAGTGGCTGATTCTGCAGTTTCCCTTCATGCCTTGACTGCCAGGTACGCTAAGGGCCCACAGCTCCCATCAGCTGGGGTACTCAGCTTCGCCTGGATGAGGCCCTTCTTGTCTATTTGATGTTTCCAGAAGGCCCTGTGATTGTCTGGGCTAAGATTTGCCTCATCTACCTGTAGCTGTTCAAAAAGTGGCTAAGTCTGGGCTCTATTTAAGCTCAATAAAGAGCAGCCCACTGAGAAACTCACAGAGAAACTCATGCCATGCCGAGAAAGGTATCTCTGACTGGCAAGATGATCCTCTCTCTGGAGGCAGCCTGTGGTCTACAGAAGTTTCAGAAGACTAAAGCTAGGAGCTCTTTGATCTGTATGATTCAGCTGAGCAGGGAGAATGGCTCAGTTTTGTGTCTGTGCAGGAGTAAGACCCTGCTCTGAGAGCAGCTCTTGGTGTTCTGGAACAAGGTCTGGGTAACCACTGTGTGGCACGGGGAATAGAACCATGGAAGGGTTTAGGTTGGAAGAGACCTTTAAAGGTCGTGTTGTCCAACCGCCCAGCAGTGAGCAGGGACATCTTCAACCAGAGCAGATTGCTCCAAGCCCTATCCAACCTGGCCTTGAATGTTCCCAGGAATGGGGCATGTGCCCAGTCACATGCTCTAAATCAGCTACATCAGGGCTGAGGCCACTTTCTTTTTCTGTGATTTTACAGGAGGTCATCTGAATGCTGCCATCACCATTATGGAGTACCTTTTAGGAAACCTCACCTGGAAAAAGCTCATAGCTTATATGACCGGCCAGTTCCTGGGCTCCTTTACGGCAGCAGCCACCGTCTTTGGCCTCTACTATGGTACTGTTGTGTCTTTTATCACAGAGGTTGCTGTAGGCATCACTTCATTCAACTCACATTATCAAAAATATGTCCTTTTGGAGTCCACAGCATAATTTCTGAGGAGGGCAAGGCCTGTGAGACATACTTCATAGCTCACGGTCAGAGCAGGTCCCAGATACCTCTGGGAAGGATATGCAGCTCCTGGATGACATAGCTCCTTTTGCTCAGGGCATTCCCACTTTCAAAACCCGTCCTCAACTGAAGTGTAGCAGCTGCATTTTGTCAGCATTTTGTTTCCAGGTCTGCAGGGGCTTGAGTTACATTAACTACTGTGTATTAGGTACAGCTGGAGCTCTGGGGGACTCTGCTGGTCTGTGAAAAACAGGATCACAGACACTGGGGGTTTTGAATTGTAAGCAGACGACCTGCCAGCTGTTGTTTCCAGCATGTCTCAGTCTCAGGGTTGGAGGCCTCCAGTGCATGCAGGCTGCTGGAGCAGGAATAGGGGGCATAAGGAAGAAATTGCAGACCAAAGTCTGTGGGCAACAGGTATCAGTGAGATCATGCCCTGCGAGGAGTGTGTCACCTCTATCATCTCTTCCATTGCCTCTCTTCTCCTTGGTGTCTGTGCTGGCTGCAACGGGTGGACATGTGTATGTGACTTGTGGGATGAACTCTGTGCTAAGTTCCATAACTCCTACTTCTCCTAGATGCTCTGTACGACTACACCAAAGGGAACTTCACAGTGACAGGACCGATTGCCACTGCACCGATCTTCGCCACTTACCCTGCTCCCAATGTATCCTTGGTGGGGGCCTTCTTTACAGAGGTCAGTAGGAATGGCTGTGGTGTGCTAGGAGAAGGTGGGAGGTAACAGGTCTGCTACAGGATACCCTCAGGGTAATGCCTGCAGGATTCTCTGCAGCTTGGTCCAAGTGCCCTTCAGTCACTTTCCCTTCGTGCAGCACAAGCAATGGGAAATGAGAAGCTGACCTGTATCAGCAAACATCTCCTTTGGGTTCTGGGCAGTTCTCTGAACCGTTCTTGCCCTTTTTGGATTCTACACCCACTCCATGACCCTAGGCAGCTGTGCTGGCTGCTCCTGCCCAGTGAAGAGAGCCTGGGACTGTCTTCACATGAGCGCAGCCTGGACTGAAACTCTACAGTTTGAATAGTCTAATTGAGGCTGTGTACAGTTGATTCCCAGCACACAGCACAATGCCCAGATGCCCAGAAATAGGAAAGGGATGTGTGAAGCACTGAGATACTGGAGAGGGAAGATTCACTTCAGTGAATATCTTAGGAAGCCAATGATTTTTTTTCTGAGCTGACAAAACTCCTGACTTGGCATGATGAGGAAGGTGGTGAGAGTGGGAAGAGCCTACAGGTGGGGAGCTGATCACTCAGCCTCCTGTGCATCAGGCCGTGTCCTTGCTGCACAAGAAAGCAAATGACAGTGACAGTACATTGCTAAGAGCTGCAGAGTTTCTGCTTTTGTTGGCATCTCTGCAAGCAGACCAAGGCTCTCCAGCTGCATTTGCTGAAGCAGAAAGAAACAGGAGTCATCACCTCTATACAAACTGTGGTTCTTGATGTCCTCGGCACTGCAGATCTACAAATGCCAGCTATGTACTGTCACTGATGGGACATTCAGCTTCTCAGATGAGAATCTGGTATCCGCATTTAGTTCCAGGAAGGGCTAAAGCAACAGGTCGTAGTAAAAACATCACTCCCTCTAGAGAGGATCAGATTTGTCTTGTTAGCTGTTTGCTATGGCTCTGCTTCTGTTAGACAAAATGTACTTAAAATAACCCATTTCCCTGACTTAAGAGGTGGAGGGGGAGAATTTGTTGCTGAGAAGTTTGTGTCAGTCTTAGAGCACTTTTGGCAGAGGTGAACACATTTTTTGTTGAGAAATGAGTCTAGAATTTTCTTTGGTCCACCTGTGAGGCAAGAGTAACATTTGGGTCCTCCCTGCCTTGATCAGACCGTGAATCTTACCTCCTCTTTGATTCTGGGAAGCCTCTTCCCCTCTGCTGAGCAGAATCCTTCCACCTTTTCCATTCTGTCCTGTGACCTGTTCTCCCTCTTCTGCTCCTGCAGTTCACAGCGACAGTTATGCTGGTCCTGGGTGTTCAGGTCATTCACGATGAGAAAAACAATGCAGCCCTGAAAGGCACTCAGCCCCTGATCACCGGTATCCTGGTCCTGGGCATCGGCCTGGGAATGGGGATGAACACAGGCTATGCCATAAACCCTTCCCGGGACCTGCCCCCCAGGGTCTTCACAGCAATTGCTGGCTGGGGAACAGAAGTCTTCACGTGAGTAACCTGTTCTGCTTTTACACTGCCCAGTTTGCAAGGAGAGGAGATAAACCCACAACAAAACAGTCCCGAGGCCTTTTTCTTTGGGCCAAGTGATGGTGTCACTGCAGAGTGTGTTCTCCATTCTCAGAGAGCAAGGGTTGTGCCTAGAGGAGCCCTGGGCACTCTACTCTGTACACCAAATTTGGGGTACACTAATTCTCCTGCATGGGATTCACCTTGACACTCTGATACCTCAGTTTGGGCACCAAACTGGTGACCTGATCACTGGAGATCTAGCTGGTTATTGCAGTGACCAGAGAGCCAGAATGCATTCAGCTCACCTGAAAGCACATACTTACAGCTGGATTGCTGAATAGCTCTCCTACATTTAGATGTCTGAATCTGGAGATGAAATCCTACCTTCCTCTATCTAGAAAGATGGTGCCATGCTATGGCTTTTCCTATGGTTTGGTCATTACTGCAGTCTCCTGTTCCAGATGCCCATTTTCCTTCAATTTCCTGAAAATGTATTTGAGAGGCTGATAGAGGAGGTGCAGATGTTATTGGAAAAGGGGAGGGAAAATGTTGGTGCCTGTGTCTGAGAGTCACACTCATCAAGATCACATAGACTATTTCTTTTGGATAACAAGAAACCTGCAGACAGTGTGGAGCCACGTTTCATGCTGATGGGGAAAATGACCTTCCCTCCAGCAATCAGGTGGTGGAGAGAGAATTTGTCTAAGCCAGTTGTAGAGCCCAGTACATAAAGTGGGACAGGCACCTCTGCTCACACAGCTCACCCCTGCCCCAGCAGACTCAGCTCACTCCTGCTGCACAATGACGTGGCAGGGTAAGATGTTCTAGCCTGGCTCACCGTCTGCCTTTTCTGTGTTTCTTTTTAGGGCTGGACGTAACTGGTGGTGGGTACCAGTCACAGCTCCAGTTCTGGGAAGTCTTGCTGGTGTTTTAATGTACAAACTCTTCATTGACTTTCACAACCAAGCTGATGAGGAAATTGAAAATAAGAAAGAAGAGAGAGGTGTGGAGACTTCCAAGCTGTGACGACCACGTGCTTCGATGACACACAGGAGGAGCACGCCGTTTGTCCAACATGCAGATGAGGGACTAGTCTTCAGTAAATCCACTCTGCTTAACCAGACAAACTTGGTCTCTGAGATATTGGGCAGACCTGGGTAGGGTTAGACCTGACTGACCTGAAGAAATTATTCAATCTCCCTGTTTAAAAATCTACCAAAAAAACCCAAACCCAAATGCAATCATCACATTCTGAAGAAAAGCAAAGTAGAGCTGCAAGACTCCAGATACCTATATATTCATATAGATCAAAATACAGGAGTCAACAATGGCAGAAAAAATGTGATTAAGTTTATTAACACAGAACTTTGGTCTGGAATATTCTTTGGTAAGAGGTAGATACCACCCTACCAAAGGATAGTTTGGCAGAGCACAGACAAGAGAAGAGCAAGGACACTCTAAAATAGAAACATGAACTTCTTTTTTTTCCCCATGCTTGGTTTTTTGGTTTTTTTTTGATCTGAACATTCAGGAAGCATCAAAAAATTAGTAAACTAAACTACAGGGTCTCCTGAATCCTGCCACAGCTCTGCTGGAACACGCTGGCATCACAGAACCAGTGTGTTACTGACAGGCTAGACTTGAACTATCACCAACTACCACCATATGAAAGAATTCAGATAACTTCTGTGGCAGCATCACCAAAAACTCAAACACATCCGCCCAACATATTCTTTTTCCACTCTGAATGCATGAGAAATATGAGAAGAGGTTGCCCTGCTGTTGCAGGGCAACCTGCCACCTCCATCTGAATGAGGAAGTGGGCCTGCAACAGCCTTACACGTTTGAGATATCATTGGATTAAAGGTAAAACACCACCAGAAGCTCTTTGTTCCTGGGGGGTGGTGACAACAGTCTTAACTTTTCTAGAAAGTGCTTAAGCACATATGGTATGTATGTCAAGCACACAACTGCAGTCCCAGGGCTGGGTGCCATGAATAAACAACACAGAAATCTCCAAGAGTAGGATGTGACAGAACATCACTACTGCACAGAATTCCAAAAAATTACATTTACTGGCTTTAATGATTATTCCCATCTCCCTACTAGAAGGATAGCTAATGGATAACCAACCCAGTGGCATGGGGTGGGTTTGGGTGGTAGGTGCTTCCTCATTAGAGCTGACTTTATATTAATAGAGCCGCTACAGCAGATGTGTCTCAAGACACACATCAGCTTGAAAGGATGCATCAGAGAATTTTTTTGTCATTTGGGGGTGGCAGAGGGTGGCTGGCAGGCAATGCAGCAACTGCATTTGAGAGTGGGCCCTAGGCAGCGCTGGAAGCCAGCAAAATGTGCTTGAGCTGGGGCAGAGACTTTGTACAGTGACCACGGGACAGAAGTAGAACACCTGTCACACAGCTCAGTCTTTTGGTCTATGGGAACCAAACTGCAACCCATCACTTCCCAGAGAGAGATTCCCCACTGCATTAAAAAACCTCAAACAATCCAGCCTGTGCCTTGCTCTTGCCATACATCCTTGTGCACGTGCTCCCCAAAGCATCTTCAAATACCGAATCACACAGGACAAAAATATTTAAGTATTTATTAAAATACTATTAAGCACTTACAGGGTGGCTTCATTTTTCTGAAAGCCATACAAATACTTATGAAAGCCTCACAACATCCCTGTGAGGTAGGTTTGTCTTGTGTAATTATGTGATGGTTTCATAAATTAAACATGATGCTGTTTAAATGCTTATTTGAAGACAGTGACTTTGATTTCCCTGTTTAGGCACAAAATGTGTTGGGTGCTACCATGCATTTCCAGCACATCTAGGAAGACAGAATAGCATAGAAAAGTAGTGGAAACATCAGGTATAACTGAAAACCAGCAGTGAATGGATTAAAGTGCAGTTCTAACCTGAAAACTTACAGTATAGAAAACAGCATCAGGAGCTTCTAAGGCTGTAGGATCTCTTACCAGTGGCTCCTGGTAAGATCCTGCCCAACTGAAAAGGCAAAGGCTGTTTCAATGGTCAGCTTTGCAAACCAATGTGTGACAAACCATGGGGTTCTCCTTGCTGATGGGACTCAACACCATTGACTCACCCTTGCTCAGGGGTTCCCACAACAGGGAGGCAATGAGGGATCTTGTAGCTTCTGGCTGCCTTCAGGTTTATTTGGAATCATGCATCCAGTTGGTGGTTGGTCACTTGTGGTGTCCCCCAGCTATCAGTGTTGGGCCCAGTTCTGTTTAATATCCTTATTGATGATCTGGATGAGGGAATTGAGTGTATTATTAGAAAATTTGCAGATGACACCAAGTTTGGGGTGTGTGTTGATCTGCTGGAAGGCAGGAGGGCTCTTCAGAGGGACCTCGACAAGCTGGAGAGATGGTCTGATTCCAACAGGATGAGGTTCAACCAGGCCAAGTGCCGGGTCCTGCACTTTGGGCACAACAACCCCCTGCAGCACTACAGGCTGAGCAGAGTTGCTGGGGAAAGGGCAGAAAGGGACCTGGGAGTCTGGACTGACAGGAAGCTGAATGTCAGCCATAGTGTGCCCAGGTGGCCAAGAAGGCCAATGGCATCCTGGCCTGGATCAGGAACAGTGTGGCCAGCAGGTCCAGGGAAATGATTCTTCCCCTGTACTCAGCACTGGTGAGGCCACCCCTGGAGTGCTGTGTCCAGTTCTGGGCCCCTCAGTTCAGGAAGGATATTGAGGTGCTGGAGCAGGTCCAGGGAAGAGCAACAAGGCTGGTGAAGGGACTGGAGCACAGGTCCTATGAGAAGAGGCTGAGGGAGCTGGAGTTGTTCAGCCTGGAGAAGAGGAGGCTCAGGGGAGACCTCATCACTCTCTACAACTCCCTGAAACGAGGTTGTAGCCAGGTGGGGGTTGGTCTCTTCTGTCAGGCAGCTCAGTAAGACAAGAGGGCATGGTCTTAAGCTGTGCCAGGGGAGGTTTAGGTTGGATATTAGGAAGAAATTTTTTATAGAGAGAGTAATCAGACATTGGAATGGGCTGCCCAGGGAAGTGGTGGATTCTCCATCCTGGAGGTTTTTAAGATGAGACTGGATGTGGCATCAGTGCCATGGTCTGGTAACCACGGCAGTAGTGGATCAAGGGTTGGACTTTGTGAGAAAGGGTTAACAACTTACAGGAAGATTATTGCAAGGAAGGATGGGGGCAGCAGGCCCCCAAAGAGAGTGCTCGACTGCACGTGCCCACTGGAAGGACTGGAGAATGATTGTTGGGGAAATAGCACGTGCTCTATGGTTATGTAACCTCTTATGTAACCGAGGAGTATAAAACCGTGTGCTTGACTGTTAATAAATGATTTGCCAGCTTGCACTCAATCTGGTGGGTCCGTGCCTAACTGCCACAAATGGCGCCCGAGCAGGGACTTTAAGAGAGATGTTGGGAACCAGAGCATTAGGCTGCTGGGACTTCTACCAGTGGCAGCCCCGGCTGAACTGAAAGGAAAGGAGGAACTCCTCGAGGACACTGCGCACGCCAATCACCTCTGAAGTTACAGGACTATAGGAAAAAAGAAGAAAATTCAGCATTTGATTCAGAGGTGAGCAGCCACGGAAGGCAGGATGTAATTCCCAAGAGATGAAACAGAATGCTGAAGCCTCACACTAGTTTTTTAATAAAAAAAAAAAAAAGACAGAAAAAAGAAATTACGGAAGCTAAATCGCTGGCACTTTTAATATGGATTGCCATGACTGCACTGGGATTTCTGCTGGCCGGAACCCTTCAAATGACTGCTTGGCAAAAATTGGCAAGAGACTTTACAAGAGAGCAATTTCTGGAGACCTAGAGGCGTTTGGGAACTTAGCCACATGGAGGGAAATGGTGGATACTTTCAAAATGGCACAAAGGAGATTAGCTCCTGCTGCGGCAACAGGTCCCTTTCCCCCTGTTCCTCCTGCTGCCCCTGCTCCCCCTAGGTTTTCCCTAGAGATGAGGTGCAAATGTGGGAGTGCGGGAGGGCCCTTGGGACCAAAGGAGGAGGGAGAAGGAGATGGTGTGCCACTTGACTTTGTTCATGTTGCACGGCCGTTATGGAGGAGCAGCCGTTACACTCTCGCCGTGAGGCTGCCGAGGAAACACGAGTCTGCCCCCGCTGACATGCCCTAATGTGTCCCTGCCTGAAGAAGCATATGAAGAGTATGATGATCCGGAGGGCAGTGAGTTTATGGAGGACACAGGAAGGGAATCAGTCATGTCCTCTCTTAATGAGGATAGGTGGTCGTGCGGGGGTGCCCACAGCCTCTGGTGCTAAAACAGAAGTTCTGAAAGAGCAGCAGCCCCCAGCTGTTCCCACCAACTCTCCCTCTACCCGGGACAGGGACACAGGGCTGAGCCACAGAACCAGTGCTGCAAGATTTGGGAGCCTCTCCCCCCAGTCCTCTTCCTGCTCACAACAGCATTGAGAGGGACATCTGGAGAGAGGAGCCAAGACAACAGCAGCTGCTGCAGCAGCGATATCCCAAGACCCGGAAGAGCACCTAATGGAGCTCAGGGAGCCAACCAGCACCAGGCAAGCAAGAAAACTTCCAAAGCCAAAGGGCTCCGGGGCAGTGCGAAGATTTGGTCTAAATCAAACTAGCTGGATCTCCCTTCACAACTGGGAGGGTGAGAAGAAGAGATCTGGGAGATGGAGGGGTAGTAAGGGTCCCAAGTGTGATGCTTCTGATCTCTTCCCCGAGATCCATCTTGCCAGCTACCTCTCCTGCATGTTTGTTCCCTTTCCTATCTTTTTTACACACTTTCTAGGCAGTATCTCTCTCCTTTTCATCATAGCATTTCACACTCTGAGCTTCCAGTTTACGCGTTGCTGTTTCCCCAACCACTCAAGCCCCCATCGCCAGGGCCATGTGTTTTTCTCTTTCTCTCTCCCTGTCTTTTGACAGGTCAATTTCAAGAGCCATGTTACAAAAGCAAAAAAGTGGGAGAGGATACCCATGCATATCCATGGGTACTCAATTAAGATGGATCCCCTCTAGGTGTGTCAGGCCTTACATTAATTCTTCTTCAGAACAGGAACAATCACCAGAAATTGCAAATGATGAAGAAGGAATGCACAGTCAGAATAAAGATTTAAAACGCGTGCATGAAGTGTGAGTGTGGTGGCTGCCTCCTTGAGTGAAAAGATGTGTGTGTGTATGTAAATTCAAGAACACTTTATATCAATAATGCCTCAAATAAAACTACAATTATGCAACAATACTACCTCAACCACACCAATGTCCCCAGATGACAGTTAAGTACAATATGCATCTAGGAGAAGGACAACTCTAATTCCAAACCCGGGTAGATGGAGCTCACTTATCCCTGTAAGGCCATCCATCTTAAGAGAAGGACACTCTAATTAAACCTATGT